AACCAACAAAATATCAACATCTAATGATGTTGGAATTTGGACGTTGTGTGGACGTTACCATTATGACGTCAAAAAGACGTTGGATTTTGGTAACATAACAACACAACCTAAAAACAACAAAATAACAACGTCAGCTGACGTCATTATTTGACGTCAACTTAACATTGGCCATAGACGTTGAGTTGATGTTGGATTTTGGTCACCGACGTCGCAACCAAAATTAAACCAAATATCAACGTCATATGACGTTGTGTGCCTGCTGGGAATAAATGTTTTTTTTGCATTTTTAATAATAGACCAATTCTCAGTGATCGTCAATAAAACAAAATTCCGTTTTTCTCGGTTTAATGAAAACCAATAGGTCGTGATGGTAAGTTTCAGTTTAAGTGTATAAGTTTCACGTTTGAGGGGGTTTAAACCGTGACATCTACACGTTTTCAAAAGTGGATCAACGTGATTATTTCACGTCTTGTCGTGATACCGGGTTGAAGAAATGTTGTTTCGGCCACTTTGTTTGATATAATCATGTTTTGGCCACTTTGTTTGATATAATCACAACAATTTAACGTATGCAAGGGGTCTTCAGTGCTAGCATATGCACGCAAAAAACATTTTTGGCGTATAAATGGCACGAGAAATGACATTCGGTCTATATATATGCACTTTCATGAGACTGGTTCTGCCCACTTTGCAGATTGTAAGAGTCCTCTGTGGTTAATAACAGAGCAGTTGAACATTTTACCCAAATTTAAACACTTGAAATGTCATGACAATTAGGCCTACTTACACTTTTAAATAACTGAAATAACACATCTATGATGCATTATGACCGTTTCTGGTAGGTCTGTAGGCCTATCCATTATATAAACGCACAATGCATAAACGCATTAATTCATTTATATTATTTATTTTTATTTTCACTTGTAAGACATTTTTATTATTTATTTTTATCCCAAGTTTTATCCCAAGTTATAACCAGTTATGTTACAATTATAATCATGTGCTTCCAAATTTAATATGTATATATATATATATATATATATATATATATAAAACACAGTTGAGTTTTATCAGGCCTATTACCACCTCAGATATTGAGAGTTCTGAGGGAAATATAAATGCAGGGAGTATGTCCTTGGGCTATAGTAGCAATAGCCTGTGGTAAAATTTAGATGTAAAACATTCCTCTAAACATGAGTGTAAAAAAGATATATACAGCCACAAGCACACTTAAAGACACAGTGCTTCAGATGACTAACATCTTTTTAACCGATATCACTGTCTTCGCATTGACTCCAAAGGCCCAACAGAGGTTGTACTTCCTTCGTCAACTGAAAAAGTTCAACCTACCACAAACGCAGATTACTCAGATATAAGAAGACTACAACGAACTGTTAGGACAGCTGAAGGGATCACTGGTGTACACCTCCTCAACCTTCAGGACTTGTACAATGTCAGAGTGAAGAAACAGGCAGGGAACATCATCACAGACCACTCCAACCCCGGCCAAAATGGAGAAGTAAGTAAAAGAAGTAACACTCGTTATTTAAGTTCTAAAATAAATAAAGTAGGCTACGTTCTGTATTTGAAAACTGCGCTATGCAAAGAAGTTGACTTATGCGTTGCTCTGATTGGTTGTAGATCTACCGACTATCCAATTGAGTGCAGAGGGTTTTTTTTTCCTGGTTCGGTTACGACACGCCTCATAATTAAAGCACAATGGAGGAGTTTCAGACTCATATTCTCTCTTGAATATGAGTATGACGAAGTCAGGCTATCATTTTAATGTCTATCTTCATCTTTTACTCTGTTTTTCATCTGTCCACATCCTCTCCTTTGCCTTATTTGTTTCTCTCTCTTCTTCCATCTTTCTTTCATTCTTTAACTTCATTTTTACACCCACCTCTCTGTCTTTATCTTGTCTGGTAATTTGGGTCAGTGTTTACTGTTACTGTTAACGTTAAAGGATTAGTTCACTTTTGAAAAAAAACTTTTGCTGATAATTTACTCACCCCCATGTCATCCAAGATGTCCATGTCTTTCTTTCCTCAGTCGAAAAGAAATTTAGGTTTTTGATGAAAACATTCCAGGATTTTTCTCCATATAATGGACTTCAATGGGAACCGGATGGTTCAGGTCCAAAAGATAGTGTTAATAACAGTTTCAGATGCAGCTTCAAATGTCTTTAAACGACACCAGACGATGAATAAGGGTCTTATCATGCGAAACGATCGGTTATTTCAATGCTTATTCCAAAAATGTAACTTTTCTAAGGACAAATGCTAGCCTTTCTCCATTCTGTGAGGCACGTTTGCAACGTCACGTAGTACGTAATTACGTTCAAAAGGTCACGGGCGACGTAGCCAGAAGTACAGTCAGAGTGTTTACAAGTTGAACGCATAGGTTGAACGTGAAAACTAACTCAAACGCCGCTTACAAAAAAGGAATTAAAAGGTAAAACAACGATGTCGGACGATTTTGATTCTGTACTTCCGGCTACGTCGCCCGTGACCTTTTGAACGTAATTACGTATTACGTGACGTTACAAACGCGCCTCACAGAATAGAGCTAGGCTAGCATTTGTCCTTAGAAAAGTTACATTTTTGGAATAAGCTTTGAAATAACCGATCATTTCGCATGATAAGACCCTTATTCATCGTCTGATATCGTTTAAAGACATTTGAAGCTGCATCTGAAACAGTTATTAACTGTCTTTTGGACCTTGAACCATCCGGTTCCCATTGAAGTCCATTATATGGAGAAAAATCCTGGAATGTTTTCATCAAAAACCTAAATTTCTTTTCGACTGAGGAAAGAAAGACATGGACATCTTGGATGACATGGGGGTGAGTAAATTATCAGCAAAAGTTTTTTTCAAAAGTGAACTAATCCTTTAACCGGCCTGCATGTGTCCTCTATTCTGGCTCTGTCCACTTCTGTTTCCTCCGTTTTTTTTCTCTCTCATTCTGGGCATGCGGTGAACAAAACATAGACTGTGAAACAGTGCCATTGGAAAACACAGAAATCTGCAGAATTTGGTGGATGTCAATGTTAAATATCTGAAAATAACTTTCAATGAAAATATGTGTTTATAAAATGAACAAATGAGAACGAAGATCTTCCCTTAGGGATTGTGTGTGTGTGCGCGCGCGCACGTGTGTGTGTCTGTGTTCATCCATTGTACTGAGAACACAAACAATTTGTGTACTCTATTATTTGTCAGGAGTTAAACCACGCTTTCTCTTCTTTCTTACAACATGCACCACTAGATGGAAGCATTTATCTCTCAATACACACACCTTATCAGTCTCAGAACGAATATAGTCCCACAGGCCCAGTGATTCCTCTTGTCAAATTTACATTCTGCTCTCTCTCACACACACACACCTTTCCATTGCTCAACCATACATTTCTTACAGCTGAAAAAAGTTTTATTTGACTTGTTTTAGAGATTTTTTTACATCTGTTGTGAATATGTTGTGAGTAGGTTTTCATTGACTCAGCTAATAGCAATTCTGAACTATGACTAAATGAAGGTCATATATAGACTACTAATCTATAATCTAGATTTATGATCTAATTGCAAGAACCTTATAGCTATACTAATCATATGATAATATAATAGCCTACTAATAAAAAGCTATATAACTAATACTATAAAAAAAGACTTTGTGCCCAAAGTATAGGCTATGCATCAGTTATTATTTAACTCTCCTTTAATAAAATTATACACAATTTAATAAATGAAAACTCTGTCATAATAAGATTATAATTTCAGGATGTGAAATCTTTCGACGAAGACAATTGTATCTTATTGGTTTCAACACATTGTCACATCTTGTTATATTTAGAAGAGGATGATTTTATAGAAAACTCACCTTGTTTCTGAACAGTAAACAATTGAATCTAACTGAAAACTGTAGGCTATATTATACTCTTAATATTATACTTATTTAATTTAACAACTTGATGTGTAATGACCTTGAACCTTCGGCCAGTGATGGCTAAATGAATTGCGATCCTGTTACTTTTTACACTCTTAAAAATAAAAGGTCCCAAAGGGGAACCTTTATTTTTATCATTAAAGCCATTAGATGAAGCTTTCCCAAAAGAACCTCTAAGTGAACAGTTCTTAAACGTGTATTAACCATTTTTGCCCTCGTGTGAAGAATATTTTATAATCTAAAGATCCTTTACAAAGAACCTTGTGCATTGAAAAGGTTCCATGAATGGGAAGATTCTTCATCACGAAACCATAGAGAGCCTTAGGAGTGCATATTTATCAACAGTCAAACATAGGCTATTTGTGTCAGACAGGACGTTTAAAATCTCAAATTGACTTATAACACATTTCCATAATGGAAAACGCACACATTTGTTGGAAGGATAGCCGGGGAGCAGTGTGCATCAGAAGAGGATCTTGTGTTCTTCCATGAAGATGTTCGCAGACAGTCTCACGGTTTCTTCCCGTTCCGTCGGGCGCGTGTCATGCTCCCCTCGCGTCTACGCATCTGTCCGTCCCTTCTCTCACAGAGCTTTCTCTTCTAATATCGGCGAGGACTGGGTCAATGGCGGTGGGAGGTTCGAGCTCACAGAGATACTGAGGGGATTCGCCAACTCTCTTCAGAAGCTCTCGCTCCACGCCTGCTGATTCTGAAGGAGAAGAAGACTTGTAGAGGCAGGCGCGCGACAGAAGCTGTGCGTGTTCCCGCGGGCTCGTCCCGGTAAAGATGCGCTGGAGTGAAGTGACGTTCAACTGGCAACAGCTTTAACTTTAACACCAAGTGCCGTCCGTTGGGGGAAAAGGCGGGAAACTGATCATTGACAGTGCTTGCATTTGTTGAGGTATTGATAAAGATGAATTAACGGAGAATTGTCATGGGAGCGAATTTGGGGTTCGTCTTGGAGTCTATGCACGTGGTTCCGCTGGATTGACTCCGGATCAAGCTGTGACTGACAGCTAACGTCGAATTAAACCAAACCGCTGGAAAGGACTGCGATTGAAACCTGTGCTTCAGGTGTTATCCGATGCTATCAGAGTCTCGAGGATGCCGTGAGACCACGAGTGGCGTGATGAGAAGTTTCACGTTGCTTTTGGAGAGTTGTAAACGCAACTTGAGCGTTCAGGATGTCTCAGGAACTCTGCAATGGATTTTGCTCTAAAATCTGCATAGGGGTTGATAATTCTCACGTTCATAGAAGGAGCTCTTTCTTGATGCTGGAGATACGCAAATCTGAAGGCTTATTCATGATGTATCGAGACTTATGGATGGAATATGTGATATAAAGAAGACTCAGTGGATTTTCTGAAGTTGCATAGTGATCGCCACGACAAATGTGAAGATATTTATCAAGCATGTAAAGAGATAAATGGACAACGATCAACACGTTGATTTTTCAGGGTAATGGATTCAGACAGCGAGTGTTTTTCTGACAATTTCACTTGTAATCGCAATATTATAAAGACTGACATACTGAATAGTTACAATCTTTGCTTTATGAGTAGCCTACAGAAATGGCTGTCAAATACTCTTGCACAATTCACAATAATGCGCTGACTTGATTGGTTTATTAGATAAAGTTGAGGATCATTGAAGGTCTTCTGCTCATCAGTAGATGATTGACACGTCAACAAGTGACTGAGGTAAATCGTTGTCTCTCTATATGGACGCAGTTTCAGTTTGTTTAGCATATGTATGTTTAAGTTAAAAAGTACAGTGATATAAAAATCAATTTAATCAGCTTATTTTATTTTACTGTGTAGTCTTTTTTTGTTTTAAAATATTGCCTTAGTTTGTGGAGTTTTCAAGTGAGGTGAAGAGTGAGTAGGCAAGGTTTTGCTGATTTGTTTTCTTAACATGGTATTTTAAACGTCACTGTTTCATGTAGTCAGTTTATTTCTTTTTACCAGGTTTTTGCAGAGCTGGAATAAGGATAAAATTCGGCCCTGGAAAAATCCAGCTCATCCGTGCCACGAGAAAGTTTTTTTGTTGTTTTTTTTTTTGCTGGGGTTAGGGCCTTAAATTGGAGTAAATAAATGAATACATAAAATAGGACTGGAACAAATGATGATAGAGATGATTGAATTCACTGCAAATACATGAACAAAAAAACTTGACATTACATTTTTGTCACATAGAAATGCACTTGACAGTATGCACTGATTTTGAGCTAGGATGCGGTGAGGTCAATTGTGTTCCAAACCTGTATGACTTTCACTCTTTTGTAAAACACAAAAGTAGATATTTTGAACCATTTTGGTTAGGCAACACTTGACTTCAAATGTATGGAAGAAAAACAAAAGATACTCAAATGATTTTCTTTTATGTTCAACAGAAAGAAAGTCATTCAGGTTTGGAATGACACAGGGTGAATAAATTATGACACTGTGGGTCAAACTACTACCCCTTTAAAACAACATTTGTAAAGAGTTAACACCTAACTTATTTAAGGCACTGGTATCTATCTTTCATCGGGATCTCAATTAAAATTCCATAGCACTATTCATAAAACATATGAAGAGTTCAGATGCAAAAGCCTCTAAATGTCATTTGAAATTTTCTTCTTTAATGATGATTTTTATCAAACTTGTATATTTAAGTTCAGTAATTTCACTTAAATAACAATTAATAGGTAATTATCTTTGCCATTTAAGTGAAATCACTGAACTTAAATATACAAGCTTGATAAAAATGATCATTCTAGAAGAACATTTCAAATGGCACTTAGAGGCTTTTGCATCTGAACTCTTCATATTTAAAGAGAGAAAAAGATGTCTTTGTGCTTAATTCATGGGATGTAGACTTTAAAGCTGCTTTGTAAAATTCTCCTTTAATTGCCCTAATTAATTTTACAGTTCTTTCATAGAATCCATAGTTTTACTTTATTTACGTTCTGTTTGACTGTAATCACCCCCTTATCTAAAATGATAATTACTTATATGTCATTATTTAACATGGACAATAGGGTCTGTTATCCAGTAGTTCCTAATACAGTATATTTTAGAATCAAGTCGGCTAAACCTTGTGCAAATAAGCTTATTTGATATAGAAATAGAGGGAGACATATTTAGAAATATTTCTAAATAACATTCCTTGTGATCAGCATTATAAAATCCTCAAACATTATGTTTTTTTTTTTTACTTTTAAACCCTGATTCTCAGTTTGGACTCACCATATATTTTCACTAATAAAGCTTGTATTCAGGTGTATAGATTCTGGATTTTCATTCTGGTGTGTAAACCCTCTGTATCTCTGTGCTTACAGTGGTCCGTGCAATATCAGAATGCTCATACTGGTATGAGAGCTGGTCCTGTGGGTTTACATTCGACCCTCTGTGCTTCCTTCTTTTCCTGCCCGGCTTCTCGCTGTCCACATGCAGGCGAAGAAGCGATACCTGCTGGTATCTGTGGGGGCCTGTAGCCTGCTACTAGCCTACCTGTGTGGCCTACAGATCGGCGAGTTCCAGAACCACGCAGAGCTTTACGGAGTCTCACAGATCCCTGGTGTCCCACCTCGTCCGCCTCGCTGGCCAGAATGGCTTGATCCTCCGCTGCAGACGTACCTGGGTGAGGCAGAGCAGGAAGAGGACGGGCCGCTGCTTCTTCATCAACACACGTCTCCTCGCGAGAGGCGGGAAATCCAGAAGAACATCTACAAGAGCCGGCGATGTCGAATGGACACCTGTTTCGACTTCCAGCGCTGCGAACGGGGCTTTAAAATCTACGTTTACCCCCCTCAGAAAGGTGAAGCACCCTCGGAAAGCTACCAGAAGATTCTGGCAGCCATCGAGGAATCGCGGTTCCACACGACAGACCCTAACCAGGCCTGTCTTTTCGTACTGAGTATAGACACTCTAGACAGGGACCAGCTGTCCGCTCAGTATGTACACAATGTCCGAGCCCGAATTCAAAGCCTCCCGCTGTGGTACGAAGGGAGGAACCATCTGATTTTTAACTTGTACTCTGGAACGTGGCCTGATTACACGGAGGAACTAGGCTTCGATATCGGCCAAGCCATGTTGGCCAAGGCCAGCACCGACATGGACAACTTCAGACCACACTTTGATGTGTCCATCCCTCTGTTTTCAAAAGACCATCCTCAGAAAGGAGGGGGAAAAGGTTTTCTGAATCTTAACAATGTCCCTCCTTTACGGAAATACTTGCTGGTCTTCAAGGGGAAGAGGTATCTAACCGGCATTGGTTCTGAAACCAGAAATGCTCTGCATCATATACATAATGGGGATGATATCATTTTATTGACTACATGCAAACATGGGAAAGACTGGGAGAAACATAAGGATGCAAGGTGCGACAGAGACAATGAAGAATACACAAAGTAAGTCTGACACTTTCCTGTTTTATTTCTTTTTCACGCTGGTGTAAGGACTGGAGCTTGTCTTTAAAGGAATATTTCATAAAGATTTCCCAAACCTGTAGGATTTTGTTTCTTTATCTTTTTTTTGACCATACAATGAAAGTCAGCAGTTGAAACAGTCATTCTTATGAAAAATGTCTTATTTTGTGTTACACACATTCCAGGTTTGGAATATCATTCACCAGAGGAGTAAATATATTTTGAACTATTCCTTTCCTTCCTTTCCTACAATCTCATTCAAGCCAATGAGGTGCAGATTGTTGTTTGCTCGATTTCCCCTCAGTTTTGGCTTTACTTTTATGTTTGGTCATTTAAAGGTGAACCTGAGTAAACGGCATTGAGGGTCGAAAGCAAAATGGCAGTGTTTAATGTCAGTGTGATTTAGACTGTTGCTTGTTTTGTACTCTAGACTGTAGTGTTCATGTAGTTATCATGGGAATACAGCTATAAATGGAAGTGGTGTTGCATTTGTCTAGCTCAGGAAAAAAGTGCTGTGGAAAAGGACTCTAGAGGACTCTTACCCTGAAACAAAGCCAGTCTTAATCTTTTTGTGACAAATAAATGAGTGGTTTGTGTAAATGCACCGTTTTGGTGAGATTTACTCATTTAGTGTTTAATTCTCTCCAGTACAATGATAAAAAAGTGATTGCCTTATATTATAAAGATGTGCGTGCAATGCTAATAGTTTATTTCTTTTTACATTAGACACTGAGTGCCATGTGCAACAACTAGTGGCATTTTCTGTGGATCCAGTTTTATTTTTGCAGATACAATGTGTTTATGTGTTGTTTTGAACAATTTAACAGAATTTTTATTTTATTTGCATGCGTCTCTCACTGATGTATATGAATTCAAAGCAGGTTGTAATTACATTTTACATTTATATTAAGCCCTCTTCTCCAAAAATGAATCGGGATTATATTCAGCTTTATTTTATTTGTCCCCGATTCTATTGTACTGATGTAATGGTGTTGTTACACATTTATTACCATGTAATTACAGAGTAATTACATAGGCACAATTGAATTCCCATTTTCTGAACATTGCAAGAAAAGCAGACTCACAAAATATATACTGTGTGTATGAATTGTTTAAATTGTGTTAGAAGCAAAAAGCATGAGTGTAATTTTAAGTGTAAATACAAACAAGTAAATAATAAGTGTCTACAGTAAGATCATTAAGAGCATTACAGTCTATACACTATACAAAATTGGAAACTAAAAAATACAAAAACAAAATACACATTTGATATCAAATTAACCATAATTTTCACATTATGTATTTATGATTCAGTAGAATCAGTACAACAAAAAAGACAGATGAAATCAAATGGTTTGGACATTACACCAATTTCGATTTTACTCACTGGTTTTGAAATGAAATGCTTAACGAGCAAATGTTGTTCTGGGGTCCGCATAGTTTTGAGCATTTAGTGTATTAAAGAGTACTGCATTAATGAATATAATGTAGAGTATCAAACAGTTGGCAAGATTGGACTTTTAAGTAATTGGTGAATCATCAGACTGAAGAAAGTAGGGTTAGAAGGTCTTGACTTGCAAACTCTTTATACTTGATATATGAATTGAGAGGATTTTAGAGAGGCAGAACAGTCAATAATTGGCCCTCGGTTGAATTAAGCAGGAGCTTAGACTTACAGAAAATACACACACACAAAAATGCGCGCACGCGCACACACACACACACACACACACAGGCACACATGCATTTTAAAAAAAAAAACATAATATTGTATGATTTATAAGCTGTAAGATTTTGACCAAAAATGTCACCACAAGGGCAAGGATTTCGGAGATTGCCACCATTATGTGTGCTTTGCTATCCATGTGTGGTGCAGGCAACTGGTCTATAATGCATGGTTTTGTCATACTTTTATGGTATAAGTTATGAGATCATTAGTGGTGTATTCGGCTTCTTAAAACATTTGCCTATACCAAGATAAATGATACTTTAAATACTCAAATGACAATTGCATCACACACATAAACAACAAGGATGGTGTTGCATACAAGGACTATATCCATGCTCTTCAAGGCCAGTTTCACACTGTGTGGGATGTGAGCTTTCACTCTGATGTTGTTTATGGTCCATCACAGACTTTGTCTCAGGGGTTGACTTTTATAAAAACTATCAGATTTCAGGGATTTCTTTTTGGCTCCATTAAAACGGTCTTATAAAAATGAAGGTATAATAAAAAAGTTTCCTTCTTTTTAAATGCCTTATATTTCATTGTTGCAGGCTTAAAATATGAAAAAGGGTTTTTTTTAACCCCTTAACTGTCACCGTCCCGGTACCGAGACGCCTAACTTTACTTTACTATATTTCTATTAAATCCTAATCTATTTATGACAAATTTTATATTGTTGGAAAGGTCTAAGACTTCTAAATAGATATTCTAACCCTGTTTTGTGTTACAAATTATGTAGGAAGAGTAATTGATGAATTTATGACAAGAGTGCGCCTCAAAAAAATCTGCATCATAACAGGGAGGTCTGACCTTTGTCACAAAAAGTCGATACACCCACTTTTAATCATCGAAACGTCTGTTTTTATGCTAAAAGTTCATAATAAAACATATCTAGTATTTTTAAATAAAAATAAAAAGTTATAGTATAATATTATCCTCTAAAAATTAAAAAAAATATATATATTATCCTCTAAAATATAATATTATTTTTTATCGCCTTTTTATTATATATTATACATATTTTAGTAGTTATCATAAATTAGGTATCATTTGAAAGCTTATAAACTCAGAATTCATCCTTTTTTAAAAACATTTAATTATTGAACGTTGTGTTACCATAGAAACTGTACTTATTTTATCAGGCTCCTCCCCTTTTGGGCATCATTATATTTCATAATTTATGATCAAAACCTTTTCTAATCTTGACAAAAGATATTTTCAGAAAGATCTGAGTCTCAAGGTTCCAAATTTTGTGACAGAATTGATATTTGGACAGAAATGTATTAATTTGTTAAGGCAGAATGTATACAACTAAATTCAATGGAATTCAATGGCACCCGGTGGCTATGTTTGGTACTACGCCTAAACAAAATCTCATGGGAACTTCAATTTTTGTGATATCAACTTCAAATTTGGAACATAACTTGGTTAGATTTATGGCTTTGATTTTATAGTAATTTTAGAGCAACTTTTTTTTGTAAAATATATATTTTATATAAAATAAAAATATATAGTACAGTATATTTGATTTACTGTAAATTTAAACTTCCATAACGGTTTCATACTATAATTTTTTTTGAAGAGTTTTCACTTCAGCAGTAATCTGCTGAGTATTTCCTTTAAAACAAGACCAAACTTGGGTATATATTCCAAAGCATTCTTGAATTACAAGCATTTAAGTTTGAATAGTGCATTTTAACCCCCATTCTCAAAAATTCTCGTATTTAGGCATACAATTAAATATTTTTTCAATATTCAATATTTCCATTATACTGCAATGCTGTTGTATGATCGACCATGCTACTATACATTTGTGATCATAAGCTTAAATACGTTTTTTTTTTTCATGTAATTTGATTATTTTTGTTTTAAATATGATTTTGTCTTGTACTAACTTGTGTTATTTGAAATAGCTAAAAGTACTAAATGGAAAAAGAAACATGCCATGTTTATTATCCCTCATATTTTGTTGAACTTGTTAACATTTGGCAAGGTGTAGTGTATGTAAACTCATGACCACATATGTACTGTTAGAAACGACGGAGAGTGGAGAAATCGAAGTGTGAAAGTGTGTTTGTTTTTAATAGAGCTTGTTTTTTAAAAGTCAGTTTTCTGTTGAGTGTGACGCGTGGACTATACTCTACTCTCTGATCCACCTCTGACTGCTTATACGGGCACTGTGACCTGTTAATGCGCGGTGCAAATCCGCATCGCAGATGCAATAAGTGTGAAACAGGTCAACACCACATAACTCAAAGAGTCAACAGGCACAACACCACTGCATATATCAATGCCACACTGCATGCAGGGAACCATTTCTGCTGGGTAAATGTGCAAAACATAATCGTGATTTTAATGGTAAAAATGCTACAGTGCAAAACTGTTAATTGGTTAACAGAAATTTTGCGTACTATATCCGGTAAATAAATGTGATAGATCTCATGGTACATTTATTGTAATTTTACAGTAAAATACTGTTAAATTTTCAGTTTTTGAAAGTGAAAAAGAACAACTCATTGTATAATTTACAGTGGGAAAACGTAAATGTACATTCCCACAATTCCCTGTGTGGCAATTCACTTAAAAAAATTATATATTTTTGTTGAAATAATTATGGTTCCTCATTGTTTTCTTGTTTTTTCCCCCCTAATCAGTTGTGTACATTAGGGTTTAATGTTACATTTAATGTTTTTAAATGAATGTTTGTTGCATTTTTTTAATTGCATATGTGACCATGATGGTGTTTAATGTTTGTGTGAATGACACTGTGCAGCTTCTTTATATAAGTATTAACCTACTTATGGAAGACTGCTTGTGATGAGCTTCGACTGACCATGTGACTCCCATCACTGATTGTTGGTTGTCAGTGTATTACAATGGTACAAAACAGATATCAATTCTTCAATAGGTTGGTAAAATAACATTATATGAGATAATGAAATACGGTATATTACTGTAAATTTTAAGATAAGTATGTAAAACCAATAACGGTGCTACCGTATTTTTGACGGTAAAGTTCTGGCAACCACAGCTGCCGTTTTTTTTTTTTTTTTTTTTACCGTAAAAATTCCGGTTTTATTTTTTTTGAATTTTGAGTGAATCCGGTGAGAGCTCCACTAACTTCTGGTAGATTTCTGGTCTCGCCACTGGACTCTTGTTGGAAAGTTCACATTGACAAGTTTTCATTATCAAGTAAGCCAGAGTCAAAGAGAGACACGTTTCATAAGATGTCGAGTCTGCGTTTGTGCCTATACAGTGGAAGATGGAAGACAAGAAGGAGGAATGAGGTGGAGAAACAAGGGAGAACGAGCTCCCACTGATCAGATGTATTGACAGACTCTAATTTAGAGCAGCTCACAACTGGGTGCTTCCTAGAAATCCATCACACTCGAGAAAGAGAGAGACAGCATAAAGAGAGAAAGAAAGACAGACGTAGCGCAGGAAAGAGAGACAGACAGAGCGAGAAGCCTGCTGTTTTTTAATTAGGGTGTGTGATTAACGTGATGTGTTGTTTTTTAGCCTCAGAATCACACAAAAGGGAAGTGATTACAAATCCCAGTTATACCTCCAAAATTAATCACCTTCTTCAATAAACACAGCTGCTCAAACTTTGAGAACTCACTGTTGTGCAGTATTGAATCCTAAACTTTTATGACAACCAAACTTGACAAATCCATCCGTCGTCAGGCATAAAGGGAGGCCACATTGTTGTTATGAATTACATGAAAATTACCCAATTTGTTGCAGTGTTGTCATTTCCCATTTGAGCAGGGCAACTTGGGCAACTATTTATGCAACTCATTTAATTTTAGTTTTTTTATTTTAGTTTTTTTTTTATTTATTTGTGTCTTCCTT